GGACCGGACCGAGGCGCCGCCGCCGCCGGGGGCTGCCGCCGTGCCTGTTCCTTCTCCTCCCTTTGTTTCCCTTCAGCCTGGGGGAGCCCGGTTGCGCCCGGCGGGCTGAGCCGGGAGGGCCGAGCGGGGGGCTGCTCTGCCTGGCGGTCTTTCGGGGGCCGTGGAGAGTCTCCCTGGCAGACCGTGCCCGAGGGGGCGACAGGCGGGACCGAGGCGCCGCCGCCGCCGGGGGCTGCCGCCGTGCCTGTTCCTTCTCCTCCCTTTGTTTCCCTTCAGCCTGGGGGAGCCCGGTTGCGCCCGGCGGGCTGAGCCGGGAGGGCCGAGCGGGGGGCTGCTCTGCCTGGCGGTCTTTCGGGGGCCGTGGAGAGTCTCCCTGGCAGACCGTGCCCGAGGGGGCGACAGGCGCTGCCCTGGTCTCCCGTCGCCTCGCCCGGCGGGGCCCGGGGGCAGCCCTCCCTCTCCGGCTGGACCCGTCGTCCCGCCCTGGCAGGAGGAGGAGAGGAAGAGGAGGAGGAGGACCCGATGCCCGGCAGGCCCCCGGAAAGAGTGGGGCACCGGCGGCGGCTCCTGCTGCTTGTGGATTATAAACGCTTCCGCACTTCTTCCGGATCATCATCCGAGCCGGGCGGGGAGCCTCGGCAGCTCCGCGTGTGGTTGCTGGACTCCCTGGGAACGTAGCGCGAGGCTCGACGGCGCGGATCCGGCGCTGCCAGGCACCATCGCCGGCTATTCTGAGCCCAGTGCCGGGAAGGGGCCGGAGAAGGCGGACAATGGGGCGTCGGAAGGGAAGCGCTGGACGGCCCCAACCCCACCCCAGCTAAGCGCCTCGCCCGGTCTGGACGCTTCGGCTGCGGAAGCCCGGAGCCGGCAAGTCTGCTTCTGTGTCAGACGATTTCCCGGCATTGGGAAGCGCCGCTGCCTCTCTCCGCCGCTGCCGACCTGCGAGTGCCCGGGCACAAGAGCGACGCCGAGTGCAGGGAAGCCCGAAGCGCCTTTGAGGTGCCCGAGAATGCGACTCGCTGCCTTTTCCCGTCCCGGCCCCCGTTCCCCTTTCTGCGGGTGGCTCACCCTGTTGACTTGCCTTCGGCTGGGCGCGGGCCAACCCGTGCCCTCCGGAGCTTCCCCACCCCGCTGCGACCGGGAGTGCTGGGGCGTCCTCCAAGACGTCTGCTGGCCCGGGCCCTGCGCTGGGCGGGCTTGGCCGGACGCCGTTTCAGCACCACCGGAGCCTCGGACAGCTCCCGGCACCGAGACAGAGCGGAGGCGGCCCCCTGCCTGCCTTTCCTTGCATCCGTCTGACTCTACCAAAGGCTGTTTACAAACTCTTTGTTTTGGCGTGGATTTTAGGAGCCCATCAACTCCGGGATTCCTTTCCTGTCTGCCATTAAAGCCTACCCATCCAGCTATGCAGAATGAGCTTACGCCTTCCTTATGTGCCAAGAAAAGGAGACGAAGAGAAGGACCCCTGCCCGCCTTGCTGAGGACTCGTAGGGCAGCCAATCGTCACCCCCTCTTCCCTCAATATAATTACCAGGTCCAAGTGGCTGAAAACCAGCCTCCAGGGACTCCTGTGATCACAATAGCAGCACAAGACCCAGATTCCGGGGAAGCCGGGAGGCTGCTCTATTCCATGGATGCCCTGATGAACAGCAGGTCTCTGGAGTTGTTTAACATTGATTCCCAAAATGGCCTCATCAGCACCACTGAAGTGCTGGACAGGGAAAATATGGACCTCCACTACTTCCGAGTGACTGCTGTGGACCATGGGCTTCCTCGCCTCTCTGCCACCACCATGGTTGCTGTCACAGTGGCAGACAGAAACGACCATAATCCAGTCTTTGAACAGAATGAGTACAGAGAGACGATCCGAGAAAATGTCGAAGAAGGTTATCCCATCTTGCAGCTGAGGGCCACAGATGTGGATTCGCCACCCAACGCCAACATCCGGTATCGTTTTGTAAATGAACAAGCAGCCCATTCTGTCTTTGAAATTGATTCACGATCTGGGCTGATCACCACGAGTGGCCAAGTGGACAGGGAGAAAATGGAGAAGTATTCCTTGGTGGTGGAGGCAAATGATCAAGGTAAGGAACCTGGCCCTCATTCAGCCACTGTTAGAGTCTATATCACTGTCCTTGATGAGAATGATAACGTCCCACAGTTCAGCGAGAAGCGATATATTGTTCAGGTCAGAGAGGATATAAGGCCTCATTCAGAAATTTTAAGGGTGACAGCCACAGACTTGGACAAAGACAACAATGCTTTGGTTCATTATAACATCATCAGTGGGAACAGTAGGGGGCAGTTTTCTATTGACAGTGTGACTGGTGAAATCCAAGTGGTGGCTTCTTTGGATTTTGAAGTTGAGCGAGAATATGCCCTGAGAATACGTGCCCAGGATGCAGGGCGGCCGCCCCTGTCCAACAACACGGGCATGGTTAGCATCCAAGTAGTGGACATTAACGACCATGCTCCCATCTTCGTCAGTACACCCTTTCAAATATCTGTCCTAGAAAATGCTCCCTTTGGCCATTCAATGATCCACATTCAGGCAGTGGATGCAGATTATGGAGAGAATGCCCGCCTGGAGTACAAGCTTACTGGGGTCTCATCTGACACCCCTTTTGTGGTGAACAGTGCCACAGGCTGGATTACTGTGAGTGGCCCTTTGGACCGAGAAACTGTGGAACATTATTTCTTTGGAGTAGAGGCCCGGGATCATGGCTCACCCCCTCTCTCTGCTTCCGCTAGTGTAACCATAACTGTCATGGATGTCAATGACAATCGGCCTGAATTCACCCAGAAAGAATATTTCATCCGTCTCAATGAAGATGCTGCTGTAGGCACCAATGTCCTCAGTGTCACAGCCATTGACAGGGACGTAAACAGTGCCATCAGCTACCAGATCACAGGAGGGAACACCCGGAACCGTTTTGCCATCAGTACTCAAGGGGGAGTGGGGCTAATCACTCTCTCTTTGCCCCTGGATTACAAACAGGAGAGGCGCTTCGTGCTCACGGTGACTGCCTCTGACCGGACACTGCATGACAACTGCCATGTTCATATCAACATTACTGATGCCAACACCCACAGGCCAGTGTTCCAAAGTGCTCATTACTCAGTAAGTGTGAATGAGGATCGTCCTGTAGGCAGCACAGTGGTCATGATCAGTGCCACGGACGATGATGTTGGGGAAAATGCACGGATTACCTATTACTTGGAGGATAATATTCCTCAGTTCCGGATTGATGCCGACACTGGTGCCATCACATTGCAGGCTGAGCTAGACTATGAGGACCAGGTGACCTACACGCTGGCCATTACAGCCAAAGATAATGGGATCCCTCAGAAAGCAGACACAACTTATGTTGAAATCATGGTCAATGATGTCAATGACAATGCCCCTCAGTTTGTTAGTGCACACTACCAAGGCATCATATCTGAGGACAGCCCTTCCTACACCAGTGTGCTCCAGATCTCAGCCACTGACCGGGATGCCCATGCCAATGGACGGGTGCAATACACTTTCCAGAATGGAGAAGATGGAGATGGGGATTTCACAATTGAGCCCACCTCTGGAATTATTCGCACTGTCCGTGAGCTGGACCGTGAAAGCATCCCAGTCTATGAACTCACTGCTTATGCTGTGGACAGAGGGATCCCTCCCCAGAGGACACCAGTCCATATTCAAGTTACTGTCCAGGATGTGAATGACAATGCACCCGTCTTCCCAGCAAAAGAGTTTGAAGTCTTGGTGAAGGAGAATAGCATAGTGGGCTCTGTAGTCGCCCAAATCACAGCTGTTGATCCTGACGAAGGACCCAATGCTCAGATCATGTATCAGATTGTAGAAGGCAACATCCCTGAAATTTTCCAGATGGACATCTTTTCCGGTGAGCTCACAGCTCTGATTGACCTAGACTATGAGACCAAGCCAGAGTACGTCATTGTGGTCCAGGCAACATCTGCTCCTCTTGTCAGCAGAGCCACAGTCCACATCAAGCTCGTGGACCAGAATGACAACAGCCCTGTTCTTAAAAACTTCCAGATCCTCTTTAACAACTATGTCTCTAACAAATCCAACACCTTCCCATCTGGGGTCATAGGGAAGATTCCTGCCTATGATCCTGATGTGTCCGACAGGCTATTCTATACCTTTGAACGTGGAAATGAACTGCACTTGTTGATTGTCAATCAGACTAGTGGGGAACTCAGGCTGAGCCGGAAGCTGGACAACAACCGTCCCTTGGTGGCTTCCATGCTGGTGACAGTCACAGGTAAAGATGGTTTCAGCTCTTCTGATGATTGTAGCAATGATGTATTTCCTTCAGTGATGACTAGCCTATTCAGTTCATGTTAAATAGTGTCAGCTTCTTATTATTTGGGCCATTGTGCCGTTGGAGTTCTGGAGGTAAAATGGGGGGACGCTTTGATAGTAATTACGTTGGTGGATCTTTTATTTATTTTTCCTCTGGCTTCCTTTAGGGCGTAATTGCTCAGTTGGCTACCAAAAAGGCAAGACTTGATTTGCTTGCTATTATCTCATGGCAGACTCATTTCATAATTTATTAGACAGAGCCAGATTCTTGCCCTGAAGAGTTTGCAATCGAAATTAGATAAAGTGCACAAAAGGAAGGGAGAAAGGATGTAAATTGGTAAGATAAACCTGCTTGTTGCATGGAGAATTCAAAGAGGGGGTGGAGGAGCTTACCGATTCCTTTCTCAGCCTTCCGTTCCTATAAAGGTACAATAGTTCCACAAATCTGGAAGGTGTTCTGGTGAGGCCTTTGTAGGGCTTTTGAAACAGACACAGAAGAAACACAGTCAGTTCTGTTGCAACAAGTGGTGTAACCTGCAGAATTTGTCTGCACAGCCATTCTCCCTGTAGCTGTGGAGAATAATGGGAAGGCCGTGAAAGGGTGGAGAAGAAGGGTATCCAAAGAAAAAGCAACAATGGTCCACAGTTGCAAATTGGGTTGTGCTGCCAGGTTGATGTTGCAACCCCCCAGCCTGTCAGTGGACCAGCTAGGAGAAGTGTAGGGTTTGCCACTGTTCCCACATCGCTTGTGAGTGTCATTGATTTAACGTGCCTGACACCTCCAAGATACCTTTTGTCTAAACTGGAAGCAGCTTCCACAGAGAACAGAAAGATATGGTTTCTTTTCTTAGCTTCTTTATAAGACGTGAAAGAGGTAAACAACAAAGGAAGGATTTACTATGGATCATTTAATTTGTTTTAAAGGATATCTGTTCCATTCTTTCTCCCTAGGGAGATCAGCAGCATGCAATACAATAATATAACAGACAGTCACAAAAATAAAATAAATTTCACAGCAGCAAAAAGTATCTAAGAGACCTGATTAAAAAGTTGTTCTAAAGAAGTTTTAGAAGTTCTCATTGCTCTCTTACATGTAAGCAGTGGGACGAGACACATGGAGCTCCTGTCTTTCAGAGGCAGTGGGGCACCACCACCAAAAAGGCCCTCTAATGTGTAGTCACCTTACGTGACCAAAGGGGCAGCAAGAAGGGCCTGTTTTCAGGTACGCTTCTACAGAAACACAACCTTTTTCTTTCCGCTAACTCGTCCCAAGGCATTTAAGCTTAAAAGCAGCACTTTGTGTTACAGATGGAAATGATGAGCTAGCTACTGCAGTTGGTATAAACAGCTGAAATATTCTATCAAATTAAGACTCTTGGCTGCCGTGTTCTGAACTAATTAAAGTTTCCAAGTTGTCTTTAAAGGCTGCCCTACGTATTGCTCATTAAAATCATCAAGAGGAGAGTTGTAACATTTGTGGGAGTGAAATTGGCTTATGAATACTGACTGTCTGTTAACCTTCAACCATATGCCCACAAAAAATCCTTACATCCAATCTCCTAAGCCTCTGTTTTCCTATCTGAAGACTATGGCAAGACTGAGTTACCAGGTTAATATCCATTTACGTCAAGAGGTCTCCAGGCCATGAGGGCTCAGCACAAAAACATGAAGTAATAGTGAAGACAATGTCTCTGAGCTCGTGCAGAGTTACATTTCCCTTGCTGCAGGACAGCATCTGCTTGTCTGGCTTGGAAAAAAAAGGCTTCTGTGGCAGAGGACTTGACTTTCAGGCATGCTTGCAGCCCTGTCATTTATCCATTTAAGAATAAAGAACTGGACATATCCGGTAAATGCGTCTTTAAGCCGGTGGATCAACTATCTTTCCCAAGGGCCCTGATCTCATTCTCTTCCCGGTTTTTTTTTCCCCTGCACTTTTCTTGTTCTCTGTCTTTCACAGCTAAGGAACATGTAATGTAAAGCTGGAAAATGTGGCTTTTAATGTTACCATTCCCAGAATCCCCAGGCCAGCACAGCCACCAGGAGTATCGACTGGGGGAATTCTGGGAAATGTTAGAAAAAGAAGGCAGCATTTCCAGACTCCGGTATAATTAAATTCTTTGGAGTTTGTCAAAGAAAAAGAAAATGAGGCAATATATCTATCTGCCCCCTGACCCCCAGGGCTGATCTCATATTATTCTGGCTGGTTCTTAGATGTTGTGTCTGGTCCGAGAATTCCGAAACAGGCAGCTGTGTTAGTCTGTTGTAGCAAAGGCAACAAAGAGTTGTATGGTTTCTTGCAGGCTAATAAATTTTTCTATGGCATAAGCTTTTTTTGGAGGCAGTGTGTCCTGCCGCCTGCTCCATAACATATACTCTGGATTGCTGATCCTTCTTGTGGACCCTTTGTAGGTATTGCTTAGCTGGTTCTACTAAACCAGGTGTTGGCCTCTTGCTCAGATTTCAACCAGAGTATTCATTTTCATTTAATTAGTTGAATCACTCACATCAACGTGTCTTGTCAGCATTTCTGGTTTTGGCTACAGTCCCTTCTTTGTCCACTCTGCCCTCCTAGAAAACAGGGTTTACATGGATCTGAAACATTTAATCTGCTCCTGTGTAAATGCTTCAAATGTAAGAGCAGATCATCATTTCCCCAAGTCTATTCTTCTAAGACCTGTTTGCTACACCTCCAGAAACTGGGTTGCAAACCTTCACCCTCTTATAAGACAAATTCTCCTGCCGATTGCCACATTGTAATATCATCTCTAGTACTGAAACTGGAGAATCCAGCACACATGTACTCCAAAGTCTCTGAAAAACGAACACGAACTGTGAGAAATTTGATTTTTTTTAAGACAAAACGGGGAGGGAAGTTTCCAGGACACCCAGCCAAAGAGCATTCAGGCATACCAAGAATAGGTACCCAAACTACTTGAATTCTACTGGTCTTGGGTGCTCACGATGCAACCACCTCCTTGTATTGCTATCCGTGGAGGCCAAATGATGCCAAAGAACCCAGGTGTGGTCTGTTTTCAGAGGCGGGGAAGGGGAGAGGAAAGGGGGAAGCTTGTATTAGTGGCACACAGGCTCAGCTCCCCAGCTGTGTCTAGGGAGATTTACATTATTCATAGCATTAGCTATCATCTAACCCTACTATCCCTCTCCCCCTCCCCACCCTGACTAATTTAGGGAGTGGGCTGGGAAAAGGCCACCCTTGTTTCCTTCAAAAGCAAAGAGCATGTGGTGCTGCGTTCAGAGCAAGCCCGCTCAGGCTCCTCGCTAGATTGGGGTTCTTCAGGGGTTAATTGTAACTGCGGGGCAGGGCGATATCCTATTCAGGAACACAGGCAAGAGAAGAGGGGGAGAGAGAAAGATTGAGGCATCGGGGCTGATTACCGGAGAGCGAGGGAGCTGACCTTTTCCTGCCTCTTCCAGGCTGTGCTGGCACAGACGCTGCCTCCCAAACACACTTAACCCCACACAAAGGCAGGAGGAAATCACATTTTCAGGTCTTGCCTTAAAGAGCCTTAGAACAACAAGGCTCTCTTGAAATGACACAACGTTGTATTTCCAGGGTGGGAGTGAGAAATAAAAAAAAGGCCAAAGCAGGCAAGGGGAAACACAAAAAAGGAAATAGGCAAAGAAGTTCTCCCTCGGGGATGGGGGCATTTTGAGGCAGGGGAGGACGAAATGGGCAGCTCGGTTGCCTTTTGTTGGTTCCCCTCATTTGGGGGGGGGGAGAGCTGTAGACCACTCCATTAAAGAACTAGCCCATTCTTGCAATGTATGGATTTTAATTTAATTTAATTTTTAAAGCTTGCTGTTGTTCCTTATATATCTTCTCTGCTAATTTGATACATTCTAAATACTGCACGGGAGTCCATGTCTGAAATCAATACACAACTAGTCAGGTCTAAAGGGGTTCAGGGACCAATTTATGAAATGGATCTTAATGAATGGAAATCCAAGTCTTGGTGCATTGCTCGGTAATACCTAGCAGTTCTTGGTCTGTAATGTAGGGGAAACATTTACGTATTTGAAAAGATCAGCAGCAGTGTTGTCGTGTGTTTCCAATTGGTCACAGCCTCAGCCCCTGAGCTTCTTTCATTCTTGTGTGAGGATTTCTCATCCCATGAACTCAAGAAACTGTAACAGAGGCATCACTGGATATGGAATAAGAGGGGGGGGCAGCATTTCATTCCGAAGATTTCAGAGCCAAAACTTGAGATCAGAGAGGCAGCCCCTTGATGGATGTCAGGGAGGCAGAGCAGGCAAAGGTTGGGTATGCAGGCAGAACTGTTTCCATGTGAGCTGATTGTGTAAGGTGATGTGAAGCACCCTGCTCCCTGCATTGCTCTCAACTGTATGACAGGCCAACGTGCATGCATGCACTGGCTTGCTCCGGTACCACTTGCCCTCAATTTGCTTCCCAGAGAAGCATACCAATCACCAGCTAGCACCCTAAGACCTGGCAACTTCCCAGGCCAGCTTTTCCTAACCTTGTACTCTCCAGAGCCCGCCCCCTTTCATCTCCATTCGGTATGGCTGACAGACTTCTAGAACTGGGCGCCTGTCTAGTTGTATTTAGCTGCCAGTCTTGGCCACTGAACTCTCACTCCAACACTCATTCCATTTCTGTTCTGGACCCTGGCAGCTGCTCTTGCACAAGAGCCCATGGCTTTCAAAGAAGCTGTGAAGCACTCTCCATAAGAGAAGGCATATCCGGCCACTCTGGTAACAGTAAGATGAGCATCCCAATCTAGCTGCATATCTCTGTACAGATGCCCCATTTGTTAAAGTTGTAAAGCATTTATATGGTATTGTTAAATTTAATTATAATGAGAGGAGATTAGTAACTGGCATGCATGTTAAACTGCACTCTTATTAATTTAACATATTACAGGGTAAATATTTTCTAAATGGTAGTGATGTTAATCTGTTGCAGCAATAAAATATAAC